CCAGCATTTGGGAGCCCTGGCAATATTTTCCTAGAATAGGGACCTCTTCCCCACAAAACCTGTGTGAGGTCAGATACCAATGGGAGCAGGCAATCCCTCAAATAATCAGATAGGGCTTTAAAAATCATAACCAACATTTTGACTTGTACCTATTAATTAGTGAAGCTCTGAAAGGAATGGCATTATGTGGACAACCCAACTGAACTGCTGCTTTCTGCTCTACCTTACCTTCCAAATGATCTTCCAGGGCAGAAACATGGAGAATGCATTACAACTTTTCAGTCCAGAAGTTACCAAAGCATATCTGATTATGCACAAGACCTACTGGTCCATGAAAGATTATAACCAGAGCACAAAATGGATGAGAAAGTGGAAGAGAGAATAAACATAAATAATCAAGAGGCAGCTCGGGGAAAATGAGTTGACAACATATTCACTAATGACAAATAGTCCAGAGGGCAAGAAGTGTTTCATTTTTTTCACATCAATCACAGAGATTTCTCCTTAATTAATTCATTATCAATGAGAGACAACGACTCTCATAATGTCCAAGATTCTGTAGTAATCTTGACTAACAATAAAAATATCTTATGGAAATCTGTGTATTTTTTATTTCCTTGATCCTTACCAGTCTTGAGGGTCTTGACAATGGAGCTCTACAAAAGCCGTTTTGGTCCATAGCTGCCACACCTCCATTGAGCAGGAACTTTGAATCCAGAAGAGCCCTAGGATGGCAAATCTGTTTTAAATGATGGAGTTCAACCCTGTCAAGAACCAATGGTGAAATATCACTGGGCATAGTGACCATGCATCAGAAGCTGTAGTCTCTGAACCCACTTCTACTCCATCTTTTGGGGATTGGGTATACCCATCCAGATCCTAACAGTGTCTTGGAATCTTGTTCAACGTAGAATTGAGATGCTCCACTTTTAAATATACTGTTGATATCTGAACCTATACAAAAGGATAGGTTCTCTCAGAGGCTATATATAGATAGTAGGAGAATTGAATCCTTAGGAACTTCATGATGATAGGCTTTCTGACTTGACCTCTACCCTACCACCAACAGTGACTCTCACAACCAATCCCAGAGGAAGGTGTAGAACCATTGCAACATCTTATATTACACTTCCAATCCCTGGAGAAAACCCAGAAGGATATTGCAATCAATGGTGTTGAAGGTCTTTCATAGATGAAAGAGGAATAAGAGGTCGGTCATGCTTCCCCCATTCTGGTCTCACCACAGGTAATCAGCAAGAGTGATCAGTGTGATCATGGTATAACAGCTTGACTGAGAAAGTTTCACAGTCCTTTCTTCTGAGGTCTTCCACTTTCTCAACAAGCTTAATCAAAGATAAAAACTAAAAAACTAGTTGATAGTTCTCCAAACTATCTGGGTGAAGCAATGATTTCTTCAGCAGGGGTTCATCACCACCTCTTTTAAAGCTGGTAGCTTTACTTCCAGGATATATTTACACTGCTCTCATCCAGCCTCTGTCACCTCCATAAAGGGAGCAGTGATATAACCCATAAGAAGTAAAGTTGATAAGTTGAATGGAAAACTTTTTTCCATTCATCAGGAGCAAGAAACTTACATTCACCCTAGGTAACCATGCCAGATGAAGTCTAGCTCACTTCCATTGGATTTTCTCAGTTGACAGATCTGAGATCAGAACAATTTTGTCCTCCAGATGTACTGTAAACTCTTCACAGTGGCCTAAAGGATGTTCTTTTGGTCTGCTTTTCCCAAAGATGGGCAGAAATCAGACAATTTCTTGGAAAGTGAGTTGGGATGTAAAAGTGAGGCAAGTTGTACCCATTCATTTTGCATCATGTGTGAAACTAATCTCAGTGACTCTCTTCACTGCAGTCCATGTATTCAGAGAAAATTAATCCTTATATTGGTTTTATTGCTCAGAAGCAATTGATAAATCTATGATCTCCTCCTCTAGGCCTCTGCGTTCTCTTCAATTTTTCAAGCATGATAAACAATTTGGTATTGCATCGGATTGTCGCAACCAAAAATGTGTTGGTGCAAGAACATTTTTTACAAAAATGGTGCAAGCGGCCAGATTAATATATAAATAGTATTTGAAGATAGGGATGTCAAAAGCTGGTGTTAATAAACTCACTCTCATTTTGAAAGTTTATTAAATTCTTCTACTGCCATCTGTTGATGAGAAACAACCTGCAGCAGTTCCATCCGTGGTTTGCTTCCTTATAAAAGTAAAGTCTTAGATCAAACACAATTCCTGGAAATTTCTTAGATGTTACCCAGGTTTTTTTTTTCTCTCTTACAATATGGAAGTGGTTTTCCACTGCCTTATTTTCAGGATCTTTTTCCAGTCCAGTCTAGCCTACAGCCCTGGTATTTCCTGGTAGTTTTCCAAGAATTAATCAGGGCTGACCCAGCTTAACCGTCTGAGATCAGCCAAGTCATATTCTTATTTCTTGTAAAGTGTTGAACAAACAATAATGCACCAGGAATTTATTTTACATATTCAATGAATACCATTTTGACATCTGAGTACAAGCATTCATTTCCCTCTAATAATTAACTCAGCTGGTGAGTATTAGGAAGTTGGTAAGTTGTTTCTTTTGAGAAACAAGAGAAAAGAACTGGAATGCTCAAGGAAACCCCAAGGTTTTAGGACAATAAAAAAAGCTTTATGTATGTACTCATGGTCTGTATAGCTGCCTATCTCATAGCAGTGACTGAACAGGGTACAAAGATTAAAACCACCACAACAACCCACAACACTGAGTCAAAACAATCCTCCAAACAAAAAGCTGTATCACCATCAGAGCTTGGCATTAGTGTAGTTTGTATGTTTGTTATTTGCATTTGTTTATTCTTTTTGTTCTTAATTGTGAGTCACTCAGGGCAAGATGGGCAGCTATGTAAATTGAATGAACAAATAAATAAGTCAATAATGGGGGGTGATGGGGTAAGAAAGACTGAACAAATATATTTGTTAAATATATATTTAAGACCAAGGGTTGGGCAACTATATTAAAAACCCAGGTGTTTCTTTGAAGATGCTAGGAACCAATGAATAAATTGAGTGGATGATCTCAAAGTCTAGGTGGAAAACTTCCAGAAATAGTTTCAACATTTTGAGATATTGAGATATTTTGAGATATTTGTAAAAAAGTAGAAGCTGTTAATTCTAGCACTCCAGCTGTTAGGAGGGATTTTGTCACAATCTCAAATTTATGCTTGGATAGCTTCTGCCCATCAGTGTTTACATGGCCACGAGTCTTTGACAGAGATTAAAAAGATTTATGTTATAAATCCTGATGAGAGTAAGGCTATTCTATTGCAATGTAGACCTTGTTAATTATAGACCCATTAACCTACTTAATATGATTAGAAACACACACATAATGGAGGGATTGGACTGAAGAGGAGACTGGCATTTTAAAAAAGAAACAAAATGTGATAATTTTTCCTATGGATTAGTAATAAAAAATGGAACTAGATCCATACTAGATCACTGGAAGTAGGCTGAAACTGATCTACTCTGGTTCATTCATTCCTAATCTTTTAAATATTTCTTTGAAGTTTTTATTTGCTCTGTGTGAACAATTATTCAAATCCAGGTGCTGCTTAATAGTTAGGCAATATGTATGGCTTTTGGAAGTTCCCCATAAAAAGGGATTTCCCCCCCCCCCCATTGTCTGAAAAATTGGCAGATCTGTACCTTCAAGAGGGAGCCAAATATCCAAAAAATGCTATGCCAACTGGATGGGTAACATAATTACAACAGCAAACAAGGAAGTGTTGTTAAGAGCAATGAGAAACAAGAAATGGATGAAAAGACAGTAAATTAAGAACAAACAGAACCAAAAATAAATCAGAATAGGTTATTAGAGAATAACGATGACAGACTGTTTATTTTGGTATGTCCCTATTTTCAAAAACTAAACGGTAGGTAGGTAAAAGAAAATGAAACTCCACAATGAAGACAGAGAGAAATAAGGAAAAGTGAAGAAAATGAAGATTGGGAAGAAGGTGAGTAAAAAAATCTTAACAGGAAGAACAAACAGGAAAAAAAATGTTTCTAGCTAGCAAGGAAGTCAGAATACAAAATGGAATAAGGAACTGGTAAGGGATGAAGGTAAAGATTGAAGGGTCAACAAGAAAATGTAACCAGGGGAACTCATAGGATAGATACAGGTGAAGCTATGAGCGATTGCTAAACATGTAACAGATGGGAAATATATGAAGACTCATGAAGATAAGACTTAACTTTGCCACATGGGCCAAGCAAGTGAGAACTGACATTCTTGTCTTTTAACAAATGAAGATGCCATTGCTAGGTCTGATAGGCACTATACCAGAGGTCCCCAACCTTGGCCACTTTATGACTTGTGGACTTCAACTCCCAGAATTCCTCAGTCAGCCATGTTATGGCTGAGGAATTCTGGGAGTTGAAGTCCACAAGTCATAAAGTGGCCAAGGTTGGGGACCCCTGCACTATACAACCAGGCATTTCTCCACAACCTTTTTTTCAGGGCTATAAATTGGAAGACCTGCTCTAGGGCTATCGTGTCTTTAATTTATTCTGTTGCAATATAAAAATCAAATTCAATATCCAAGGCAAAATGCTATTGTAACAAGATTATTGATATGACTTTTGAGGATTAATGCACACAGAACGATTAAAGACCCGTTTGTAATAAACCATGAACTCTGTTAATTTTCTCTTCTACTGAGCAAGATGGAGCCACACAGATATGAAAAACTGTTTTCCCCTGAATAGGTATTTCATTAGATGTTCTTTCTCCAGTGGAGAAATATTTTAAAGTCACCTATTGCCCCCCCTCCCCTCACAAGTCACAAGAGAGTTAACAACATTCCAGCATACCTCAGTGTTGGCAAACGGAGTTTTAGTCTAGCTACCTGATGATGATTGATGAAGCTTGTCAGCCATACAGTAGTGGATAGAGCAGTTTGGCAGAAGTTCAGTATTATTGAAAGAAATCACAAATACTTATTCCATCTCCTCTGCTCGCTTTAATCACATTATCAACAGACTGTCAGGATAGAGTCTTGACATTAAGCCACACAATCGCACAAGCAACCTATTGTTGGCTTATTGCATTTGCAACATAGATAATGGGTAATTTTGTTTTACATTTTTCTCTTTTACACACTGCCCGTTAAAATAACATTCAATTTTCCTGCCTATTGCCTAACTTACCTCAACATTCATCCTGTTATTAATGCTTTTCTTTTTACAACTGAAATGACAAAGAACTAAATCATGAACTTGGCCCACAGTATGCAAATATTTAATACATATCAAATCATGGAGTTCACCCACAAATTAATTATGCTCCAGAATACTATTTACTTGGAAAACACAATTTGATCTGCAAGAACACTGGTCATTTGCAATGTTCACCAAAAGGGCTCAACCATAACATTAAATATTGTCGGTGAAGGGCTACACAGGAGATTCAAAGCCAACACATGCTTGAATGTGCGTGTGGACCCCCAAGTAGCATCTGTAAAGAACATCTTAAAGAAGCAGTGACTTTTCTTAGAGTTGTGTGTGCGTCATTTGCAGCTGCAGCATGATCCTGGGAAAGTCTGAGGTGACTATTATAGGCAGATCACTGCATACTACAAATTGCATTTTGCCTTTGAATCTACATAACCCTATTCCAGAGCTTTCAGGCCATTAAGCATATGAGAGTATTTTTTGTACAACACACAGAAACACTAATAGGACAAATACATACCTCAAAGGCAGCCAACCTAATACTCTCCCATTGTTTCTAGTCAGAACAAATTCAGTGAAATGATGACTTCTTTCTCAAGGTTTTTAAAACTTATACTGATAACCTTAGTAACATAAAGAATTCATTCATGGATTTCAGACTATTATACTCCCAAGGTGTATGGGCCTTTTACAGTTATTACTCTACACGTCAGGCTACTGCTGTATGTCTGCACATAATTACGACTCCTCCCTGCCTCTAACAGAAGCTAATTCTTCAGGAAAGTAACAGGAGAGCTCCTTGAAAGGACCCAAACAAAAAGTATGTAATTATTCATTTCGTAAATAGATTTTAACTGTGCACTTAATCTGGCTTGTTGAAGTATAATACTGTTATTGCTGCTATCAAACCTTTTGTGTGTGTGTGTGTGTGTGCACGCATGTGCGCACATGCACTTAAATGAAAATGAAACAATTATTCAGTGCAAGGAACCAAATTTCAGTTACAACTTAGCACTTTTGGTTTTGGTCCCTGTTATTTTTATCTAAATTCTAATACTGTGCCGGAAATCCTGAAAATTGAAAACTAGTGGAAGATGCCTGTTTGTTAGAGAGACTGTTTTGGGAGGTCCTTCTCCAAAGCCTCATATTGTTCTTTAAGATGCTCCATAGCTTTTGTGTGTTCTTCATTGACCGTTGTTTTCAGGTGGTGCTGCTCCTTCGTGAATTCCTCCCAGTCAGCCATACGTTGAGCTTCACCAGCCCTTAGTTTCTCAGTCTGAAGCTGAGGAGAAAAAGCAGGTAATAAATGTTGAATCTGGCAATGAAGAGAAGACAGTTTACTGTATGTTGCAATGAGGATCTCTTCAGTAGGGGAGTTTTAAAAAAGTTATTTTTTTCCTTATTTTATGAAAATGTGTAGCTTGTAACAATAAATAAATTCACAAACAGAAAGAAAAAAGGAAAAAAAAATCAATCAAATCTTTGCTATGGCCTTGGGGCCACAACAATAGAATATAAAGAAGCATAATTATAAAACTCTTTTAAAATGCAATAAAATTACATAAAATACATTATTAGAGTAACTGTAGTACAAATAGCAGTGGCAATCACCAAAATTTGTGCTAAGCATCAACTGTAGGTTGGACAGTTACAACACATGATAGCACAAAGTCGGGCAACTTGGCAAGATGTGTCAAGGTCCTGATTAGACAGAAGCAGTCTCAGATGTGCTATTTACTGGGGTAGTTTTTAAAAATGAGATACGTATCTTTCTTGATTTCCTATAGAGCAGGGATGTCCAACTTTGGCAACTTTAAGACCTGCGGACTTCAACGTGCAGAATTCTGGTTGGCTGGGGAATTCTGGGAGTTGAAGTCCACAAGTCTTTTAAGTTGCCAAGGTTGGACACCCTGCTATAGAGAGACAACAAAATAGCACATGGCTTAGGGATTCTACAGAGCCATTAGCACAGGGGTCTTCAAACTTGGCCCTTTTATGACTTGTGGACTTCAACTCCCAGAATTCCTCAGCCAGGCACGCTGTGTGATTGATGGGATCCACAGCATGCCCATTCAGCCTGACCTCATCAGATGGACAGAAATGTGGAAATAGGCAGTCTCTAAAGTAGTCTGGCTTTAGGTCATGATAAGTTTAGGTCATGTTTATAAGTGATAAACAGCTCCTGGAAGTCAAGTGGTAAACTAGTGCATTTCAGGATGCTGAGGAGACATGTGATATACTATGGCACATCCATCATTACCTATGTTGCCGCATTCTGGGCCAACTGCAGCTTCCAGATAGTTTTCCAGATAGTTTTCAAGGGCAGCCCCATATATAACACATTACAGAAATCCAATCATGAGAAGACCAAGGCATGAGTAACTTCCTGATAGTCTTAACAGTAAGCTAAAAGGAGATAAAATTGTCCAAGACATTTTACTTAAAGAGAAACAGCTGAGAGCAATCAATAATGGGCAGGTTGTATGGAATACTATTCTTCCCCAAAACACTCTTCAAAGTATTAGGAGACCTGCATTGGATGGATACTTGCCATAGGACTCTCTAACATTCTTTTAATGCACAGAATGTGTCCTGCAGCAAAAGAGGCTAGGAACCATGGCTTATTGAATGAGTATCATAGAGAAAAACCCAATGCATTCCAATCTTCAACATTGATTAAAAAAAAAAACCAGTCTTTCCCAGGACATCTGCTCCGTCTTCAAATATACAGGTGGTCCTCGACTTACAACAGTTCTTTTAGTGACCATTCAAAGTTACAACGGCACTGAAAAAAGTGACTTACGACCTTTGTTCACACTTACAACTGTTGCACCATCACCATGGTCATGTGATCAAAATTCAGATACTTGGTAAGTGACTCATATTTATGACGGTTGTCCCTGGGTTATGTGATCATCTTTTGCAACCTTCTTGTAAACAAAGTCAATGATGCACTTAACAACTGTGTCAAGAAAGTTGGTAAAATGGGGCAAATTCATTTAACAAATGTTTTCCTTAGCAACAGAAATGTTGGGCTCAATTATGGTTGTAAGTTGAGGACTATTTGCAATTTATCTTAATGGTCACCAGTTGGTGTACAACACAGCTAGAAAAAACTGGGCTGAACAAGGTTGGGCCTTAATGTTTAGCTCCAAAATCAGAAGAGAAGGAAAATATGTGGACTAGGGATATGTAAACCTGTAGTATGCCTTCTCTGTCTTAGCAAGTTTAGGAAATTTAGGAATGCTGTATTTACACTGCAGCTGACAGCATTTTGCCCTTATCAATTACAGAAATAAGAAATATGAAATTTGCTTCAATCTGCTTACAGTGCTCCTCTATTAGGGCTGAAAAAAAATTGAAAGGGCTGCCTAATCATAATTAAAGGAAGCACAGAAGAAAAATACAGAATTAATTTCTTCCACAGTTTTTTTCCTAATGCTGAGGTTTAAGAATATGTATTACAAACCAACAGTGTGCAGCCTTGTGAGAGGTTATAGCAAGTTGCATGTTCTTATAATCTAGCCTTTTATGAAGTAAGATCCAAAGGTATGAAATAGTTCCATTTCAGAAAGCTGTAGTCATAATATGTTCAGTGTTTTCGACTGACCAGGAAAGATTTACATTTCCATTCTGTTGGGTATTTTTTGTTCCATGCAAAACAGGGATTTCCCTTTTCTCTGGCTGTGAACGAAGTTCTTAGAAAAACATTCCACCCATACAGAAGCGGAGAAGATATAAAAACTTTGCTATTTTTTAAGCAACCATGAAAGGCTAATTAAAACTGCAGGTTTACCTATGACATTTTTTTTTACATCTAGTGTAGCTATTCCAGAAGAAGGTATGCTTTTCACCTTCCTGAGAACTTTAAAATAACATTTAGATTTGTTTCAGAGCAATTGGTAAATCTCAGAGTTACTTAATTCACATTCTTACACGCAATTTTAATCTGATGGGAATTAAATGTCCATTTTGCCAGTTAAGCAAGTATATCATTCGACGGATATATTCCTAAGTAGTCCTGTTGAAAGACACTCCAGATTAAGAAGTGACCAAATCACAGACTGCTTCAGTGTAAAGCTTAATAGTATGTATCTGGACAGAAAACGGAAATCAGCTTGAAGGTTCACAGCCTTTGCACATTAAGTATAGCCTGACATATCTTTGACTGGTTTAGTGTTTAGATGACATAGTGGGCACACGACCCTCAAAATTTAACAATAGAGATTTAAACAAACAAAACCACTCAGTCCGGTTTATAACAATATATCAACCAAGAAGAAAGAGCAAGAGGCACAAGTCTAGAGAATTTGGATGTGAAGTAAAAAAAAAAAAAATCTTAATATTAAAATGGTAACCTGGATGGGCAACTAGTTGTGAGCATAAAACAGTTTAATTCTCATTCAAATACCACGGTTCAAATTTCAAGATAAGATGGGCAATTTTCATTCACACAATTATCCATTGAATATTATAGGGAGTACTCGCTTAATAACTATTCCTTGTACTTACGGCCGGCACAACACCCCCAGAGCCATGTGACTGTGGTTTGCAATCTTGCCTGCCAGCTTTAGACAAGCAAAACCAATGAGGAAATCAGTAGGAAGTTGCAAATCAGGGCTATGTGAGGTCCTCGCTTTATGATGGCATCTGGATGGCTGGACTGCTGTCACTAAACATGTTTTTTTTTACAGAGTTTCTAGCCTCAATTAGCATGGTTAATCGTGGTTTCCTGTACTCATAATGGAAGTGGCAAGTTTAATATACCCTTTTATAAATGTTGAACTAGTGCAAGGGTAGGCAACCTTGGCTCTTTTATGACTCGTGGACTTCAACTCCCAGAATTCCTGAGCCAGCCATGCTGGCTCAGGAATTCTGGGAGTTGAAGTCCACAAATCATAAAAGAGCCAAGGTTGCCTACCCCTGAACTAGTGTAATGGAGAGATGGAATAATCTTGAGGAAACAGGAGGAAGAACTATTGTATAACCAAGGTAGCAGTGATATAAAAGAAATCTGAGGTTGGAGAAGAAATGTAGTTTGAAAAAGCCTCTCAGATAGGACTCTCCCTACTTGTCACAAAGATAAAGGGAGGGTGGGGATCACATTCAGACTTGCAAGAGTCTGTTACTGTAACCTTGTAATAAAAAGAGTACAGTGTTCACATTCATGACTTTCTTTTCCTAATCTAGTCTATCTTGAAGGGCTGTCAACTAGTCCCCCCTCCCCAACATTAGATACCGCTTTGTGGCTAAAATAATCCATTTAAAGCCCATTGTGCTCTCCCAGCCTTCCTCTTCCTAATAAGCTTAACTTTGCTAGTTTGTAAATGTAAAATATTAGTATTTACCTGTCTTTCTTCCTGTTCTGTTTGCTGCCACGTGTTGAACATCTGGTTGGCTACCTGTACTGAAATAAAGTTTACAGTTGTGCAACTCATCATTCATATTTTTAATGGACCTGCTTTTAATGTGAGAACTACACTGGCTTTGCTCACACTACTTTAAACAAAAATGTGCTATATACTCATTAGGTCTTTCTAATGTAAGAAAAACATCTCTGTGATTTGCTAAGCCTGGTTTAAATGTCATTTCTAAACCCTTATAAAAGTAGCTTATAACAATACAGCCCAAGCAGAAAATGGGAGCTACTTTACATTAAAAATAAACTCTAACATTAATTGAACCAGATTAAACACTTTTACTCTATGAAAGGAAACCTGGAAAACATGAAAATGTATTGTCTGAAAGCAGTACACATCTATCACCTTTGTCTTAAGTTGAAAAATAATAGGGTAAATATAGCGCAACATTTAAAAAACTATGTACCACCTTAGAGCAAAATCCTATCTTAATCAAACATCCTGCTTTAAGAGCTAGTTGGATGGCAATTGGAAATCCAGAAACAGGACAAAATTGTACTCTTTCAACTTACATTATAGAAATTGCTATTGACAGGCATTTTGCCTTTGCATTTGAAACAAATAAAGTGTATGATAGCAGCTGGCTAACCTGATTTGGACTTAGTAACTAAGCTGGCAAGGCCTTATTAGTCCTTAGAGAGGAGCCATCAAGGAATTCCAGAGCTACAGGTTAGACCAGAAAATTGAAAAATATTTCATCCTTCACTTCCCCAACCCGCAAAAAGAGAGGACAAGACACATAAAACTTCTGGACAAAAAAAATTACATGGATATGTCATAGAGTTATACAGAGTCAGGTTTGACCCAAAGGAGACTATGTTTTTTATAGCTGTCCTTAACTGATAGTTATTGATTAGTTTCAGTATCTGGTGGAAAAAAGTCAGAGTCCACCATTTGTCAAATGGAATTTATCACCATGGGAAAACAAATAGCAGTTAATTTTAGAGGCAGATGTCTAACAAACAGATATCATGAAATCAAATTCTCTGTTTTCTAGGCAAACTTAACTCATTTAAAGACAGCAATCACAGCATCAGAAGAACGTAACACAGCAGGGGAGAGATTAACCAGCATCTTCTGATTTAACTTTTCAGTTCAGGTGGTCCTTGACTTACAACAGTTCATTTAGTGACCGTTCAAAGTTACAGCAGCACTGAAAAAGGTGACTTATGACTGTTTTTCATACTTAACGACTGTTGCAGCATCCCCACGGTCATGTAATCAAAATTTGAATGCTTGGCAGCTGACTCATATTTAGGATGATTGCAGTGTCCTGGGGTCATGTGATCAGCCTCTTACAACTTTCTGACCAGCAAAGTCAATGAGGAACTCAGGTTCACTTTACAACTATGTTACTAACTTAACAATTGCCGCAGTTCACTTAACAACTATTGCAAGAAAGGTCATAAAATGGAGCAAAGCTTACTTAACAACTGTCTCACTTAGTAACAGAAATGTCGGGCTGAACTGTAGTCATAAGTTGAGGACTTTCTGTACAGAAGTTACTACACTGATGTTTTCTGTTGTCTGTAACCCTGTACAGATAAAGGAAAGGTTAACCTTTTGGACCACCAATGAAGCTTAGGATTTGGAGGAACTGTTCTACAGTTTTCTTCCACTAAGGAGGGAACAGGTCTCCATCTTGGTATCTTCCAGGTGGAGACTGTGGCCAGGAAGGTCTTTGTCTGGCACTGTCTTTTGCACCAGTTATGGTCTCATCTGGAGCTTAAGGAGTTTGCTAGTGACTGACGATGCTGTCACCACACTACTAAATACTGTACATGGGACTGCCTCTGAAGACTACTCTGAAACTGCAACTGATGCAGAATGCAATGGGACTAGCTCTAAAAAACACATATGACACCTGGATTTTGGGCCCTGCAAAGTGCTGGTTTTGACTATAAAGCCTTGTATGGCTTTGCTAGGTATTTATAAGATTACCTCTTCCAACAATGTCAACCAATAAGGCATGTTCTTCTGGAGAAAAGCTATTATTTCCAGGTTTGTGAAACGAGGGAGGCTAGTTGACATTATTTTTCAGTTAGGTCCCTCGCTTTGTGGAATGGGCCTACCTCAGAAATTACATCTGCTCCTCCTTAATGTCATTTCAGAATGCTAAAGACAGAGCTATTTCATTTCTCTTGTAGATGTTGGACAAACCTGTGATGTTTAAACTGTCACTACTGTACTATTGTATCTAGAATGGATGTCTTATCTTTATTTTGCTATGATTTGTATTAAATTATAGCTCCTATCAGAATTGGATTTGCTATCATTTTAGCTAATTTGATTTTTGATGCTTTAATTCCTGCTATCTTGTTATGCATTATAAGACTTCTATTAGTTTAAACTAGACTCTCTGCTTGATCTGGTGGATTATAAATGTGGCAAATTAATAAATAATGCCAAAGGCTTCATTGAAACATGAGGCATATTATTGGATCAATCTGATGTTGCTACCTAGAACAGAAATATACCTATTTTGTGATAGTGTTACAATGGCCAAATTATATTATTTAGCACTCAGGCCCAACTTATGGGACTACCAAAATCCATCTGGAAGTTGTATTGCCTGAGGGCAGTTCTCATAATGCCAAAGTGGTTGTACCTCAGATGCAGTTTACATACTTCCCTCTCCTATCTTTTTTGCAAATGAAAAGAAGTCCATTTATTTTTCTTTGAACTGGAGTGCTACCAGCAAGCTCCTGCTGCAATTCAACACAAAGGTGGTCTGTGTTCCCATTGAAGGCCTTGTCCCACCCACCCCCACCCCTGCTGAAGTCCCTAAGCCCAGGTGAGTCATTACACAGCAACTCAACAAAGCTCGCTAGGGAAATGCATTTTTTTCCAATTTCAAAAGGATGGGTGAGCGCAATTGGTGTTTCGAGAATCTACACATTTTGATGATATTCTTTAAATACAAAAGGCACTGAAGAAAATAAATTTACCCTTACATTTCTTTAATATTTCATTTAGATTTCCATGCATGATTCCGTCACATTTTGGCAAAATCTTGTCATTTGCCTCAAATACTGTGTTGTTTAAGTTTTCAAGAATCCGCAATTCTCGGAGACCCCTTTTTTCCTGTTTGAAAAAAAGAAAGGGATCATTCTACAAAAAAAGCTGACATTTAATTAACATCAAATCCAGTTTCACTTAAAAAAGAACTAAACTGAAATTCTATACCCCTTTACTGGAAAGTAAAATTAATTGAACTCAGTGTTATGTACAACTAATCAGACATGTATACATTTTCATTGTGAAACAGATTAAAATATCTAGATTTTTAATTCTTAGACTCCAGTTAATTACATAACTACTTGGAAATACTCAGAGATTTATTACTGATTAAATATGCTTATGCAGTAACTGCACAATTAATATTTCCACACATTGTTAATACATCTCCACTATTCTTCATTTAAACATCCCACGTTTAAACAATTAACATTTTTACAATTACTTATTTTATTAGTTTATCATCCAGTTTTGAAAGAAAACCACCCTAATAGATGATGGAAAGCTATCCAAATTTTATATATATCTTCTTATTCTTATTAAGATTTTGCTGCCATCTTGTGGCAATTATATTCAATATTACACTTGCATAAAAGGGTATTTAATATTTAAAAAGCATGTTTCTGCATATTTCACATTTTTTTTAAAAAATGAAGAGTCAGTCTCTCCTATAATTTACATAATATGCTTGTGCAGCTTTGCTTTTTAATTCAAAACCACCTTCTTCCACAAATCCATCATACTTCATTTCAAAACAATATCTAACCTACTTCAAATTCTTTGATGAAATAACGAATTTCTCCTTGAATAACTGGTCTGTGGTCCAGAAGTCGGGAATATATTTCACCAACATCTACAAGAAAAATGATGAATTATAATCTATTTATATATTATTAGAGATATAGAAAAACTTGGATAGGTTGAGATTTTTTTTTCTTCCTCTGTAGTCCACATTTCTCTTTTATAGTAGTTTTTCTCGCTTACAGTTTCCCACAGATACAGGGAGGAAAATTCCTTCAAAATAACAGTATATGAGCCATGGTGGCACAGTGGCAGAATGCAGTACTGCAGGCTAACTCTGCTGACTGCCAGTAGTTCAAATCTGAACAGCTCAAGGTTGACTCAGCCTTCCATCCTTCAAAGGTTGGTAAAATGAGGACCCAGTTGTTGGAGGTAATATACTGATTCTGTAAAATGCTTAGAGAGGGCTGTAAAGCACTGTGAAGTAGTATATAAGTCTAAGTGCTATTGCTATTAAGGCTTTTTTAATGTCACTTTATAGACAAATTAGTGTCCAAGTTTGTAAGGCCATTACAAAAGCCATTTTAATTTCATAAGATTTAGGAGATGTCAAGGTAAACTCCCTTCTATCAACAGCTTTCAATTGTTTATTGAGTTTTTGACTATAAAAAGACTTGCATGCAATACAATTGCTTTATACCTTAAAGCAAATACACAGAATTATGTCTACAGATAGCACATTTTAGAGAGTAACTTTGTCAAAGAACGTTCCTCGCTAGTTTAATGAGAACAGATACTTTTTAATATATGAAACCTATACATTTTATTGTACTATTTGGGATGAAGGATAAAACAGGTAAATAGAACATTTTAAAAATAAAATAAATAATATAATTTTACTCAATTGTTTTGAAGTCTCAAAAAAAAATCCAATTCTGTGAAACCCTCAGAGTTACTCAGCTCAACTAGCTCATCAAGATGCCATCTTTGTTACCCATTGGAAAAACATCTTCTTTCCTTTTGTCTTTCGTTTTGTGTGCGCATGAGTCCAAGTGGGAAAGATTAAGGAGAAACAGAACTACCCTCAGAGATACTGTTTTTAGACAGATCTCAATGATCATCTGAAAGCTGTGCAAAGCTTGGACTTAAATGCAAAAAAGATGGTTTGGAATGCACAAGAGTCATTGACTCTTGGCATGTTTGATACATTGACTGACTGATTATGTGCCATCAAATCATTTTTCACTCCTGAGCACCACCTTGATTTTCTCCATGATAGCCTATCCTTAACTTGTTTTTTTAAATCTCCCAACAGTGTACTCATCACTGTACAGGTTGACAGGTTACAATCAGCAATTTTTAATTAAAACATCCACAGGATAATCAATCAAACAAAATAATCCGAATCGCAAAATAACATCAAAAATAAAAGTTCTAGCAAGAACAGACCAAAATAGCAAGAGAGAAGTATGCCTTCAGACAAAAAAAAAACCTCTTAAGCCATCGTTCCATAAACCAACTCTAACCAAGTTCAACTGAATCAGCCAAACATTGACAACTTCCATTTGCTTGACAGATCTGCAGAGTTGGTCTTTCTTCCGGGAGCCATTCCAGGCTCGTAACTATAGGCAATGTATTTATTTTATCCTTTCTGTTTCCTTTCAGAATCCATTGGTGTTTTATACATAAAGGGTTAGAATAGCTTGCGCGAATTTTGTCCATATACCTGTGCTCTCTACGGACCTTCGCTTCTTCTGCTTCCTTCTGATATGTCTCATTTATTGGGCAATAGATCGCGAAGAAGGCGGTGAACGCCTACCACCATTACCATGCCCGCTCTACTTCCAAATCAAACTACTCCCTCGCTACTCTAGGGATACTATGTAATATGTTTGCAATTACCGTATCAGCATGCAAGAGAACGGAAACTTAACGGAGGAAAGCAAAAGGAAGGACCAGCGCTTCCTACCTTTAAAAATAGGACATGAGGAGGCGGAACCCAGGGAATCCCTCCTTTTATTACCGCTTCCAGAAACCGGAGACTCCGCAGTTTTATTGACGCTTAAAGTCCCGGGAGCCCCACTACTCATTTCACTCAAAGCCTCCCGAGGAGGACCGCAGCGGGACGACTTTGCAGTTCCTTACGAAAGCGCATGCGCAACTGTCATAAGGCTCTCTGGACGGGACTAGATGTGAGTACTGCGCATGAGCAGGAAGGCTTTCACTTTGTGAAGCAGTTTCCAAAACAACCGGTGGGAGAAATCGCCCTCTATGACGTCAACAATTGAAGTTTCATTGAAAGGTTCCCGAATGGCTCGTTCCAAATCTAAATACTTAGGGTCAATGTTGGAGCTAAGAGGAAAGATTTTTGCTCGGCATGCATTGTGAATATGAATCGGCCAGCAAAAAGACCTCTCCATCTTTTTGAAGAAATCTAGAGAGTTCTAGATCTACAGGTAGATGGTGGAGAGTATTTCTATCTATTTAAAAATATCTCCTTTTCTAAGTTGCAGTTTCAGTATACTGTGCAATAAATATTGCATCAGGAACAATACAGTTTAAGCGAAGCAAATCAGTTTCACTCCAGCAACGTAATATTTCATGCTTTTTGTGAAATGCTGCTAATGTCATGCTTAGCCCTGCAGGAAATGTAAACAAAACTAGAGAAGCTAGTCCAGCCTCATAATTATTGAAGGAATGCATGATAGTAATGTTCCCAACCGAGGGCCATTTGGTCTTTGCTTAAACACCTGGAGAGGTGTAATATAACGAAAATGAACATAATGGGAAACTACAGGGAGGAAAAAGGGGAAAGGAGAAAGTATGGGCAAGAAGAGATAAAAGAAAAAAAAAGGCTTTGACTTCCAACTCTTTAAGCACAGTAGAAGATAATAACATTACAACCTCAACTTCTTACTTTTACACAATAATGTATATAATTTAATTTCTTTATCAGCAAATCTGTCTAAGCAGCAAAACCAAATTAAAAGTTTTATTTTTTCCACCCCAAGCACAAAACCCGGAAACGGTTTCCAAGTAGAAAATAAATTAGATATATTCTTTTCTTTGAATGACACAATCAATTTAACTGTCTCTAATATTATTTCTTGCTGTGGAAAATAATATATATTCTTTGATATTAACATACTTTATTATACTTCCGCGGATTTTTTTTTAACCTTAAAGGGTAATAACCTTTCTTTTAACATCCATTTTAAAATGCTAAACTTTTCTTTGAAAATATTTCTAAAATCGATAAGAAGTTTTTCCTGATGTCAGTCAAAATCATCTTCTTTATAATTTAAATCTTTTGTTTCTTTGAACAGTCTTCAGGAACAATGTAGTTCGGCCCTCCTGACAGCATTTTAGGGTACTTTAAGATAGTTTCTATGTCTCCCTATAATCTTCTCCAGGTTAAATATACCCAACATCTCCAACCATTCGTCATACAATTTTCCCTCCAGAACTTTTATTATCTTAAATGTTAACATCTGGACACTTCCCAAAGGTGCTTTTTTCCAAAAGGTAACTAGACTATCTTGATTTTTTTTCTTTGAAAACATTTCACTCCTCACCCAAGAAGCTTCTTCAGTTCTCAGAAAACTGAAGAAGCTTCTTGATGAGAAGTGAAAGATTTTCAAAGAAAAAAAAACATACCAAGAAAATACAGTTGCCTTTGAAAAAAAAAGCACCTATTTGAAAAAAAAAGCACCTTTGGGACAACCAGGACCTGGATGATTGAGAATCTCTGTAGATATCTGGAGATTTCCTAAAACGCAGTAGCAAAACCTGGATGCAATATTCTAGGTATGGTCTGAGCAACACCATGCAAAACAAGAGGAACAATAATTCTGAACTGTTTACTTATGGTTGGTTGCATGGCAAGCTAGATGTTTAGACTGGCTTTGACATTTTTTCCCACCTATTGAATCCTTCCCAAGGGCATGGGATAGGCAGATGTTGTTTAATAATATTAAAAGTATTGCAAGATGTAAGCCAGGGGTCTTCAAGCTTGGCCCTTTTGTGACTTGTGGACTTCAACTCCCAGAATTCCTCAGCCAGCATGCCTGGCTGAGGAATTCTGGGAGTTGAAGCCCACAAGTCATAAAAGGGCCAAGTTTGAAGACCCCTGATGTAAGCTGTTCCAAGTAAAGCTGCCTTTTGCAATTGACTGGTGGTGATTTTGTCAATGCTAATGATCATTGGACTTGATTTGCAACAGCAGATAATTATTTCTTTGTTTTTAATATTTGTGTATTTGATGGGCAAACAACTTTTTCTTCCTTGGTGCTCTTTGGTTTGGCTGTTTTCTTGCCGACGTTTTATTACCCAAACTAGGTAATGTTTACGTACCTCACAGGGTTATAGTTGGGGAAAAGCATGCTATCTTTTATCACATATAAATCCATAACTAAACAAGCAAAATAAAAGTACAGTTGCAGCCGCAAAAAATGGGTAGATGATGAAGTGTGGCAAATAAAAGTGCTACTCTTGATCTGCCAACAAGTCACAAGTTTCTAGGATCGCTGACTATTTTTAATTTAATATTTCATAATTTGATATTTTTTGTGGACATTTCAGTCACGTTACAATAAGTAATAATGTTTCTGAAAATAGCATTTCTAACTTTCAGCAGTTAAATGCAGAAGACTTCAATGCAGGTATACCACATACTAAAATATGCGTTCCATAAATGTCATAAAATTAATTTCCTCTAAAAAGACTAACATTTCAATTTTTTCTTATATGGAAGTAATCATAGAATTGATGAAAACATATTTCAGAATGTAGGATTCAAAGCTAAACCCTCTTTTTTGTTTAAAAAATGTGTCACACTGAGTTTTGTTTTAAGGTATGCATATAGAAATTTGTCATCATTTAATTGAAGACTTTTGTAATAGAATGGATGGAAACTAATGGCAATGGAAAAGCAGAGATAGCCTAATTGTCAGGCAACAATTAATAAAAATATTTTACTACCTGAGAAATATAAAAAAATAAAAACATTATTTTAAAAAAAATTGTTTAGAATTGAATGACATACAAGTTTAATATATTATTAAAAACATTTATCCAATTCAATCAGAGTATTCTTGTGTATATTTCCCATACTATAAAAATTGACTGCTTTTGTGTAATATATCAAATCTTAATGATTTTCATTTTTGACTTTTTACTCTTATTGGTTTGATTTGTAGTACGTATGATTTTTCAAGAAGAAATAAAAACAACAAAGAGTAAAGACCAAAAGTGGAAGAATCCCAGCAAGACATTTAGGCTTCTTCTGCACAACCCCTGTAGTTCTTTTTATGGAAGATGTGTCTATTGGAAACAATCCAATTACTGTTGTTATTTCAATAATCACACCATGAAATGCAAGCAATTTTCAATACACTCTAGGCAAGAATAGATGATAGATGTGATAGAACTGGCAACCCAAGTTGAATCTTAGAATACAGAGATTAAAGAAGTAAAGACTGAATATTCAGAACCATGTCTAGTTCCAAAATCTCATTGGATGGAACTAAACAAATTAGAAGCTAAACCATAACTGTTAGAAACTGAATTATGTAAAAGAAATCTAAAATTTAGAGGCAGGCCAGAAGAATTAGGCAAGGAAAACTTATAAAGAGCTCTATATCTTCTTCTAATTATTTGATTTTACTTAAAGTCTACTTTAATCATCAGTGGGTGAATCTTTGGAAATTAGGGGAGCCGATGGAAAGCATGAGAAAGACAGCTTCTGCAATATGTTTTAGTAAAATTAGTGCATCTCAAAATTAAAGAAGCAATCTTGGAAGTAAAGAGACATGAAACCTCTTTAAAAGTGGGAGACAGTATAATTGAGGTTCTATCAGATGCTCCTCCAGATACTTGGAGAACTGGTTTTCAAGGAGAAAAAACCCCTAGCCTTGGAAAAAGAAATAAAAATAAAAAATGGAATAGAGCATCCTAAATTGAATAGGTAGAGAAAATGAAGTATTAACAGAAAAATGTCTTCCAGACTAATCTGTCTTCTGAAATGTCCTTAACAACATGGCTAGTAAAGCATTTCATTTTTCTTTACTTCTGAGAGGACTGTTTCTTTAGTATCAAACAGAAAGAAAACCATGTAAAGAAATATTTTTTTAGGTTACAGCTTTACACATAGAATTGTGCCATTGCTGAAAATTTAACTTTAGAGTTTATATTTATATTTAAATTTGACATTTGGTTTATATGTTAATTCCTTTATTTTCTTAATGTACTGTTCATTTATAGCTTCCTTTTGCTAATTCTAATGAGTTAACCAAATATTTTAAATGTTCAATAGACGTGTTATAACTACATACTATGAAATGTTTCATAGTATACTGATGTCTTATCTAAGAATTATTGACTATCCATTCTTATTTTACTGTTTAAATTGGTTTTTTTCAACTATTGTCTTTGTTATCTGTTCTTCTACATTGTATAAACTTACATTTGTATTATTATACTCCTTTACTTTCTTGAACATTTGTAAGAATATATGTCCCCCTTAAATAAGTATGGGCCAGGAAAAATATTAAAAGTAAAATCTATTTTGTTTTTTGTAAGATAAAATAATCTCATCATAAAACTTGGGAATGGTTAGCTCTGAGTCTGAAAATCAACATATGTAGTCATCATGTAGTGTCTTGGGGAAGATTTACTAAACAAATTATGTCACGTTTGCCTTGCAATTGAAGCGATGTTCTGTTTTGGGGATTATCTTGCCATCTGCAATTAGCGTTAGGGGCATTTTGTAGTGTAGAAGTTTCAGATTAACATGCAGAGTCCTGCCGTTTTTTCCCACGGGCTCTCTAGGAATGATACTCCACTAAAGGATTGTTTCATTCAAATGGCAGTGCACAACTTGAACGCTGACGGCCGGCAGGGAAACCCAAACCTGTTGAGGCAGACGTTTCAGGAAACAGAAACAATCAGAATGACATTCTTTAAGAGGGGAGTTGTGGGGCAGAGAAGATACTTTGCAAAAGCGTAATACGTCCATGGGCATCATCTGCGGAAAACTAAGACCATGGTCATGATTGTTAGAAGTTTGCAGGCTGTGATGCTGATCCTGGTTAAAGCAAGCCTGGGGCTGAACGGTTTCAGAGTTGTTGCCTTATCAGATTAATCATATGGTTATGGTATTTGATGCTCAACCTGGACAGACAGGCCTGCCAGGCAGGAACTGCTCAGACAGATGATGTTAGGGAAGGACAGAAATTACCCACTGCAAGACTAAGAAGACAAATGACACCCAGCAGGAACAGCAAGCCAAATCAGGGGAATCTGCAATCCAGCTCTGGCCTTAGGCTACCTGCCTCTTTGAAGTAGAATAGATGTAGCCCAGGAGCTGTCACATTAGATCAGGAGGCTGAAGAAAGCTGAGAGTGATTTAGTTCTTCCAATAAAAGGAAAAGTTTAATGGTTCCAAATCTTCTTAAAGGGGGCCAAGCTAACATCAGAGGGGAAAAAAGGATATCCTTAAGATGTAATGCTTATTAAAATACCATCTTCCCTCTTCGCTTGGCAGTGAAGATTACGATCCAGGTAGCAGCTGAAATTTTTGCAGCTATTACCATTGCAGGAAATTGTATAGGTTCAGGAATATAACAAGTAATTGCTACTGCAAAACCAAACTTCGATATCCTTCTGCATTATGCTAAATCCATGGGGTTATGGCACTATAAATTCATCACAATGTATGCAAAAATGGAAAAAATCAAAGTTTTCTAACTGCAGGAGAGACCAGCATGTTTGTATTTCGCATAATCTTAACAGGATTTTCAGCATTGCGTGATTTATTATTTTGTATTTAATTCTCTAAAGCCAAGCAGTGTTGGTGTGAAATTTTGACAAAGAGATACAGGCTTAGAAATAAAGAACAGGATGCTGCCTAAGCCCATGCTAGTTCAAAGGGTACAATTTGTTTCTAGTATTGAGCCACAAAGAAGTTGGTTCTAGTCCTTTCATATGTAAATCCATATCTATATATCTCTATGAAAGACATAGTAATAAATTTCTCAGTTCTCCTTACTATAATTGCCTGTTCTAATACAGGGAGAAAAAAAGCCCCTTTGAGTTTGGGAATAAAAAATCTTTACGGATCTGCAAATTTTGCAAAACTCTGACAGTAGACTAGGATCTTTATTCTGTTCAAAATGCAGAAGATTGTTCTCTAGAAGGCAAAACAAATGTTTAAATGTGCTAAATGTTTATCAAATGGTTCAGACATTTGTTGATTCTCAGACCTCTTGCTTCTGTGTCAAGGAATGATACACTTGGAAATAAGTTAACTATGCAAATTGGAAAAAAATAAATCATTTGTTTATTTATTTTGGGCCCATCTCACAGCAGTTACTCTGGGTGGTGTACAAAGTTTAAAATCTAAAAAAACAATAAGTCATGGCACTCTAGGTAAATGACATCTTCCAACCATAAAAACTGCAAAGTTTCAGTTGACGATACATTAAAGAAAAAAAAAATGGCATCCACATTGTAAAAACATGTATTTTAAAGAAGCATTATCCTTATTACATTGCCAATAAAATCCTTTTGGGCAGTCTTTTTCTATAAAAAACCAACAGAGTCCAATACATTCTAAATATTACCTTTTTATTGATTTTGGGAGAAAGTAGTAGATCATATAAATACAATTCTACAAAAAAAACCCTAATTTTTTCAAACAATAATATTCTTTTGAACTACATAACTAATACTTGGAATTTGACAACTAGACAATGAAAATGGATTCTTCATTTCCCGATTATGGCGAAAAGATTGATATTACAGCAAAGATAAATGTATGGCCTGTTTCATTCAATGGATTGAGGACCTGATTGCACTTGCCAGCTATGAGCAATCGGATTGCCTATAGATGTAGATTTTGTATGGACAAATGTAATAAAATATGGGACTCATTTATTCAAAATACAGTATATTAAAAACATAAATGGAGTATAAATATATATGTATATGTACGTGAATAATTGCTTTAGTTAACTGAATTATTTTTTAAAAGGTAAATGGCATTCACCCTTTTTGTTCCCTAATTCATAGAGCAAACACTTTGTTACTGAAGTATAACTTAACATATTCTTATACATAAAAAAAATGAAAACAGCACAGATGTAATTCTTTTCATATATACGTTGGCACCAATAATGCAAGGTGTATGCACTTATATCATACTGGGAAAATGTTTCCTTGCTGTATGACTTCTCTCAGGCATGACTCTAGTCTATTTATGGACCAGATTATATTCAAACTGATATATGGTTATGCATATTAAAAATAAAGATGACGCCAGGAAAACAAATTTAAGTGGTGTGGTGCATCTTTTTGCAGCAGCCTCTTTTTGTCCTGATAACAGTCAGGAAGGCTCACTAAAAAAAGCTAAGATCAGCAGGAATGACAACCGGCTGTTTGTTTGCAGAGATATGTTTTATTCCAGGGCTTTTTAACCAGTGGTGCGGGTACCACCTGTGGTACATTGGCACCTGGCAGGTGGTACGTGACCATCCTAGAAAAGTGGTAGCGGGGGAGGGGAATGAGCTGAACTGGTGGCAGCATCGCACAAGCCTGAGCAAGAGATGGCTGGAGCTGCAAGGCTGTCAGGGCTCAGCGGAAGCGCCAGGATCAGCGCCGGGCTCCATCTGGAGCTTGGCACTGATCCTGACGCTTCTGCTGAGCCCAGAAGAAGCGCCGATCAGCTGGAATGTTGCAGCATCTCCAGGGTCTTGTGATTTACATTCAGATGCTTGGCAACTGATTCATATTTATGACTGTCAGTGTCCCAGGGTCATGTGAAGTGACCAAAACCTGCTGCAACCACCCAGCAGACGGAGGGAATAAAAACCAAACACCCCCCCACCCCACCCCCGCTGCCAATCCTCAACAGAAATGCTCACAACAATGAAAACCTTGGACAGGAGGAAGAGCGCCACTGGGTGGGCAGGCAGGTGTCTTGCTCGGCTGTGGCTTGGGGGGCACTTTTTCAGTGCCATTGTAACTTCATTAAGTGAACTGTTGTAAGTCGAGGACTACCTGTACTTTATCACTCCCCCCCCTTTTTTTTTGGTCATCAAGTTTTTGACACCTTGCTAGGCAACTGGTGGTACTTGGATATTGCCATATCCTAAAAGTGGTACAATGGGTGAAAAGGTTGAAAAGCCCTGTTTTATTCTACTCTTGAATACTTTTTTTGTGTGTAGTCTAATCACACGTGACAGTGTTACTTCCCAGAGGCAGATACTTGCAAAAATAACATCAACATTCTTCAGTGAATTTGAATGCAGCAATTACAGTATGCAGAATATTAAATGAGCACCATTGTTCATTTTCAGTGCCTGGATAATATAGTTTCACTTTCATAACAATGTCTATATATTTGTGAAGAAAAAAAGTACAGCCAAAAGAATAAATTATACCTGAGATATTGTATCTTAACAATGAAACACAAAAGCAAGATATCTGAAATATTAAAATGTAAATCTTAGAACAGTAGAAAAAGGTACAGAACAGTAAGAGATTACAGAGAGGTTTTTTCCACTAATGGGTGAAATATCAATTCTGAAGATATAAAACAGTCTGTTGCAGTTTCTTCCACTTGTATTATCAGTTCTCAAGCACATAAAAGTAAAAGGATAAATTGGTGGTGGGGATACAATAGACACTGTCTTCAGAGGCTGATCAAATGGTGGAATATTAGCGCAGAGGGAAAGATGCACAGATCTCCACAATGGAGGAATGGATAGGGAAATTAATGAAATTGGCTGAGAACGCAAAACTATTTGGCTAAAGAAAATATTTTGTTTTGTTTGTAAATGGAAACCACTTGGACTTTTTACTCAAGATTGAAGAAATGCTATATTAATTTTGGAATTTGATGATTATAGTTTATGATAGAAATACTGTTACTGAATTTTAGATCAAAAAGCTAATGTATTTTATATCTGTAACTATCAAAGCATTTGGAAGTTACTATTTTCTTTTTCCCTCCTTTTCCATGTATCCCTTATACTTTGCCTCTCCCTATTTTTCATTTTTTTTCTTTTTTTACATTTCATTCTTGTAGAAATTTAATAAAGTTTAACTATAAAGCTGGAATATTGTAAATAAAAAAGTATAAAGAATAACTAAATTAGAATTGACATTTAGGTGTGAATTTTATCATTTGACAATAGCTAAAATTATTTAAAGCAGGACCTAAGTGATAGCTTTAAAAAAAATCCCCACTAGCATGCTACTGGAGTAGCAATTTTATTCATGTGAAATAATAAAATTGATATCTCTTCAAGAATTAAAAGTACAACTTTAGAAAGGTTTGTAAGTTAGACTCCCTCAGGAAGCTCAATTGAGCTCTGAACAGAACGTATCCAGAAAATCCATACAAGGGTTAGTTGATACATAAACTAATGAAATATATATGAAAATAAATTCAATTAATTAAATACAGCAATGTTCCTAAATTGCCGATGTCTCTCATTTACATATCTGCAAATGTTACCAGGCATAAAGTAAAAGAAAAAAAAGGGACAATTTTAAAAAAGAATAGAAGAACTCAGAACAGTTTTAAAAAGACAGCACATTTGGTCATTTGAGAGGCTGAGAATTTTATTTTTTAAAATAAAACAACGTTTTTCATCTTCTTTTCAATAAATATTCTTCTGGAGGTTTTTTTCACAATTTTGCAACAATTTGAATTTTCTACAGAGGAAGTAAGATATAATCTAAGTATGAGATTTAACATAATTTGTACACTAAATAGGATTTGCTTCTGATATATTTCACCGTTCTCTTTCAAAATACATGGCACAATAAATTTTTCATAATAACATTTACAAAACTAATGTGATCATCCATAAAAGAAAAATACAACAGCATACTATCCATGATACAATTGAGGCAATGAGCATAGGTGACATCATGGCAGTTAAGGTCTTTGACTCTCATACCATATAAGTTAAGCTATGGATCTGTATGACATAATGTTCTAACTGAAGATGTTTGACTCACATTTTGTTTGGTTGAAATAGACCAAACTATTGTTTTAATTATGTCTATATTTCTAAATAGCTACTAGATGCAACTTTATTACTTTAGGCACCAACTGTTCAGCTTCACATATGGAAATGACAAAAATCCATGCTTGCACATTAAAGGTTTCAAAAATTATTTTCATTTGTCTGGAATTCCTAACTTAGTGTTTAATGTGTATTGTAGAGCCTGTTTTTCATAAAAACTATGCTAGACAGATGCTGCCGGATATCCGGATAATGCTGAATATGATTGAACCAACGAGATACGTTAAGATATTTCTCCTTTTCTTGCACTGTAAGTTCAGCCTAAAGAATGGAAGAAAAAGCAGTTTGTAAACAATTTAATCTAATAAATTTCTTCTCAAGTACAAAAATATTTCTTCCTAAATAAGAAAATATGCCATTTTATCACATGATCCATTTCTTTTCCCATACAATATTCATAAAAATCAGGATTCACTGCTTTCCTTGCTCTTGTTCCTTTTTTGCTATATAAAGATTTCTCTTACATGAAATTCCTGTAGTAGATCCAAACTTGGTGATCTATGCCATGTTTTGTGCACACTTTGATACGATCACTGCAGACTACAAAAGCAGCAGCATTTTCAAAGCTTAATAAAACCTTTACCAAATAGATAACATTTACTTTTTTCCAATTACTTGTTTCTATGCTTTTTTTCTGGCCTAAGCTAAATGTTTGAAAGATAAAAATTCATTCCGATTACGAAAAATTAGTCAGGAATGTGACAATTTTCCTACACTGTACTACAGACATGTCAAACTCGTGATATCATGTCACGAGTATCGGGCCGGATTTGCCATTGCCGGCAATGGGGTGGGTGTGGCTTCCATGTGATGAGTCCGGCCTGTGGGCCGGCAGTTTGACACCCTTGCTGTACTAGGTATTACAAATTATTTACAAGTAGTCCTCATTGAATTACCACTTATTCAGCAACTGTTTGGAGTTACGATAGTGATGAACCAGGGGGACTTACGATTGTTCCTCACAGTTGCAACCACCGCATCACACGATTGCAATTTGGGTGTTTGACAGTCAGCTCACACTTATAAGAGTTGCAGTGTCCTGAGACCACATGATCACCATTTGCAACCTTCACTGCTGGCGTCTGATAAGCAGTCAATTGGTAAGCTGGCAGGTTGCAAATAGTGATCACATGACATTACACTTTACAACTGTGTCACTTAAGAATGGAGCTGCTGATCCCAATTATTCTAATTAAGCTAGGACCACCTGTATTAACACTTTTCAAATTAAAATACCATACATGGAAAAGAGATTTTAAAGCTTTATATTTTTCAATTGTAATAAGTTTGTACTCACTACGATGTGGTGCAGTCCATAGTATAATAAAATATCAGCTAAAGTAAAATTGTTTCCTGTAATGTAAACTTTATCTTCAAGATATGAATTGAGGTCCTAGAAGAAGCAGAAGAAATCAAACACATTATCAATTTATAGATTTCTTCCTGTCAAATCAAAATGCTTGCAGGCAACCCACCAGAGTTCAGTATGTGTCTTCCAAGACTATTTATTCAAGGTGTGACGGTACCAAAGTTTACACAGGAGAAAGTGACTTGGCAGATGAGTAGTTGAGAGGCAGAAATGGGCATTTTGTAGGCTATGCAATAACAAGTCTTCAATGCTGTGCAGGAAGCTATTGGAGGAAACATGCCTATTTCTGTGCTGCCAAGCCCAAGGAAACAACACACAACAGGCACCATATAAATACCATACAGAATAGCCCAAACCATACACACTGCTAGAGAGATGTTCCCTAAAGATGGGCTCCAGCATGAGTCCAAAAGCTTGGAAGACTAAACCTCTGGTCCCGGTGACTGACCCCGATTGGATCCTGCCACAATATCCTGGGACACGTAGATTCACCTTCATTTGTGACAGTAGATTTTATTTATTCATTCCCTGGCCACTCATCTTACCCTATGGCAGGGGTAGGCACCCTTGGCTCTTTTATGACTCATAGACTTCAACTCCCAGAATTCTTGAGCCAGCCATGCTGGCTCAGGAATTCTGGGAGTTGAAGTCCATGAGTCATAAAAGAGCCAAGGTTGCCTACCCCTGCCATAGGGTAACTCTGGGTTGGTTACAATATAAAATGATAAAACTATATAAATAGAATACTACAACAGTATAAAAGACAACAGCTAAAAGATGGGGAGGGACTAGGATGAGTGGGGGGGGGGGGAAGGTAGGATCTGATATTAATGTATCAACCACTTCCAACACGAAGTCCCCAAGCCAGCTGGCAGAACCAGATCTTTAGGCTCTTGCAGAAAGTCAGGACAGTTGGACTGGACCTCACTTCGGGAAGGCAAGATGTTCCAGAGGGCAGGCGCAATGGCAGAGAAGGCCCTTCTCCTGGACCCCACCATCCGGAATTCCCTGACCAACAGGGCCACAGCATCCCCCCTCTGTCGGCACAGGTGGAGAGGGCGAATCCCAGTAGTATTATAAATAACCTGAACCCATGCCATGAAGGGCTTTAAAGGTGATTACAAACATCTTGAATTATACTCAGAAGCAAACTGTCAGCCAATGAGGCTAGTGAAGCAGTGATATTACATGGGCCACCCTTGGGGCCCCAACAACTGCTCACGCCGCTGCACAGGTTAAAGGTAAAACAGATCTTAAAAATGAAGTTTCCCCCCCTAAAATAGAAAACAGATACTTTTCTAAGCAACGCAACCCATTATGAACAGAGTAACTGATTTGTTTAATCAGGCCCAAAATCTGTTTACTTCTTATAAATCCTAATAGTGGTGAAAAATAAATTTCATGCAAATCATCAGGGAAAAAAAGCCAAAATCGTATTGCTGAGTCAGTAACGATTGCTAAAAATAGTGCAATAATAAAAGTAAAGGTTTCCCCTGTCCAGTTGTGTCCAATTCTATGGGGTGGTGCTCATCTCCTTTTCTTAATCGAGGGAGCCAGCATTGTTCGAAGACACTTCCGTGGTCATGTGGCCAGTGTGACTATACACTGAAGTGCACAGAATGCTGTTACCTGCCCACTGAAGTGGTACCTATTTATCTACTCATATTTGCATGCTGTAGGTTGGTAGGAGCTGGGAGAAGTAATGGGAGCAAGTAACAGAAGCTCATCCCGTTGCACGGTGCTCCGGTCTCGAATCCAGGCTGTCACTTTCCAGCTGAAAAGTCAGCGTCTTGAACCACTGAGCCATCACACCCCCTGAAATTAGTGCAATAATATTCCAAAATAAACTGTGTTAATTATCCTTACCTTCAGATTTGTCCTGATTTCTTCTTTAGTGGACTGTTTATCTATTTGTGCCACTCTGTATTCCAACCACTGCTGTACTACTGCTTTTTCTTCAGCTGTGTTCCCAAGCAGCTGCTCCTTCTTTGCTTGTCTGACTAAATGGATAGCTATACTGGTGAGGCCTGTCAGACTAGGGCCATTATTTTCCTGAAGTACGGGAGTCTAGAAAGAATTCAAAATGATTTAATGAAACTAGATTTAAAGTTCTACCATAACACAATTTAGCAAATTTTATTAATATTTTTTTAAAATTGAATACTATTTTTTTTAAAAAAATGACAGAATTCAAATTACTCACAAAGCTTATCAAGTTTTTGACACCTTGCTAGGCGACTGGTGGTACTCGGATATTGCCATATCCTAAAAGTGGTACAATGGGTGAAAAGGTTGAAAAGCCCTGCTCTATTTAAGTTCTGCATTTCAGTACTAGCCCTGCTTTCCAGAAATTACACAAAGGTAAATGAATAGGTAGAAGAGGGATGGCATCCTCTCCTCTGCACACAACATAAGAATTTGAGCAGGTTGCCACCTTTCTCAGGAAGAGTGTTCTTTTTCTTCCCTGCTGCTGAACTGAGTTATTAATTTTTTTAAGCAACCTGTTGCTTTTTGTGTTCATTTCTTTAGCAGGTTGTCCCATTGATACCGTTCTCACACCATCTGCAAGTTTGAAATGTTCCACTAGAAAAACATAAACATGAGCATACCCGAGAGAAAAGACATAATTTTCCTAGATGCTAACAAAATATTAGGGCCACAGAAAGCATCTGAAAGGCAGTACCTCTGCTGGGGTTGGGATGGCTATCAGGGATAGCTCTCAAAGAAGGCGGAAGCCTTGCGAAGGGCAAGGCTGCTTTAAATGTATCTTCAATACATTTGGCGCAGCACCTTTTACACATGCATTGCATCCCTTGCTGCAATGTTAATATCCGACTGGTTCAGGATTTGATGTTGAATTTGATAACTGCTGCAAGATTATTAGTAGCTCAATGTTGGAAAACGGAACGTTTGCCCACTATAGAAGACTGGGTATTTAAAGTTTCAAATTTAGCAGAAACGGCTAAGATTTCTGCCTACGTGAAGGATTATTCACAAGATATATTTTGCTTTGGAGAAGATGGATAGATTATATTGAGAACAAATATGGAACTAAAAAGTTTCATTTGGTTTTTGAGTAAATTTTAGATTGTTAATGTAGTTTATATATTTTTTTTAAATAGTAATAAGATGTATAATTATATTTTTAAATATGTTTGTCTAGAAGAGTGTTAAAGGATGTTATAGAATTGTTAACTTAATAGTGATATAATGTAAGACAGAGTATACTTATTGTATTGTTAACCCTGAGATTGGCTCTGGGAAGTCGGGGGGGTGGGGAGGGAGGGGGGTGGGGAAGGGTGGGTCTTGGGGAGGAGGGGAGTTATATTGTAAAACTTTTAAAAATGTCCAATAAAAATAAAATAAAATATCCGACTGGTTCTCAATCGGCAGCATGCATGCTGCAGGCACAATAGGGGCGCAGATTTAGTCATCAACACGCCCTTTAAATGCTAGCACTTGTTAAGTTACCGTCCGCTCCATGGCAGCGGACCGGGATATCTTCGAGACCGCCTTCTGCCACAGATTACCTCCCATCGGCCTGTACGCTCCCACAGGGTGGGTCTCCTCAGGGTGCCGTCGGCCAGACAGTGCCGGCTGGCGACCCCAAGGGGGAGGGCCTTCTCTGTGGGAGCTCCCACCCTCTGGAATGAGCTGCCCCCAGAGATCAGGGT